ATATATATATATATATGAGCTTGTTGATGTGTTGATATATATATATATATATATATATATATATATATATATTATTAATTAAAGAATATCAAAGACATAAAATCCCATAGGCAGTAATTTTTATTTTAAAAGAGATATAAATAAAGCTCTGAATCTTCAAGACCTACAAAAAAAACACACACAAAAAAAACAAACAACAAAAAAAACAAAACAGAAAAAAAAAACGTTTTAAAGCTCTCATGAAATAAAAATTATTACCTATTTTAAGTCATACAGATTATTACGATATATATATATATATATATATATATATATATATATATATATATATATATATTTTTGATCTTCAGTCATATGATTATTTGCACCTCATTAATTTTAATTGCTGAGTACATTATATATATTTGCTTGATATAAACATTGTAAAACTTGGTTAAGGGAGTACAAATAACCAAATCTCTGAAGAGGCGTGTATCAGCCGTTTCACTGTGTGCAAGAAACTTGTTGCCGTGGCCGATCGTGTGTATGCCGGATTATTATGACAATATAGTATATAGAATTAATACAAGTAAAAGGTTTGTCACTTAGCTAATTTATGTTATCATCAGCAACCCGACACCAGAGTTTCGAAGACGGGCCCTCTAGGAATCACGCCATCCATTCGTCAGGGAGTATCAGTAATTGACTGCTTATACTTCTCGATTTTTCTATTTTATATGCACTTTTTATTGGTAAAAGTATGTGCGTGTATGCGTTCGAGCGCATGCGCCTATTCGTTCCTCTGCGCGCGCATATGACCGAGCTAGCTGGAGACATTCATGACATTCATCACGCCAACCATTACGGCCCTGCAACAATGTTGGAAGGTCGTTAGGGTTGCATTCTGTGTCATAACATAGCTGGTCAGTGTAACAACATTTTCTAGATGATGTAGGAGAATATGGCATTGGAAATGGTGCCTGCTGTGATGCTACACCATGGCTAGGTGTCCAGAGAAGTAGGTCACTGTCTAGCGCATGTTTTGCTCGCCAGGAGTGTCTTTCCACTTAAGAGTGTAGAAATATCATGAATGGTTCAATAGAATTTAGCAAGATTTTTTTTTATCCAAGGCATGTTAAGTACAGGGTGTTGCAGCAAAATCCGACACTTGACAAAAAGAAAACGAAATAGGCAATAAAAACAAAAGTTGTATATGCAGACATCCGACATTTTGAAAGCTAACTAAAGTTTTTCTCTCTACCCTTTTCCAGGATTGAATATGAACGCAGAGCAGCGGTAGTTGCTTCTTTTCGCGTCAGGAAGAAGCCTGCGGAAGTAATGGCCTGGTTTGGGTTCAAGAGGACCATGGTCATGGACATTTGGAGAAAGTGGAAGGCGTGTGAGAACAAGGACGAGTTTACTGCCAGACGAAAGGCCCACAACGTTCGTTCTTCGGCCGTTAGGACCGACGAGTTCGTCGCCGCCGTCAAGAAGACAGCCAACAATGATGGAAGCCTGAGCTACGCCAAGATCGCCGCTGTCAAAAGTTGACGATCTGCCGAACGATTAAGAAGGACATTGTTTACTCCTACCGCATGTCTCACCGCATGCTCATCACGAATGCCTCCAAAGAGTCGAGGAAGATCAAGGCGGCGGCTTTGCTCAAAGAGCTGAAGCACGGGTCCACCGGAATACTGAGGTTCTTCTCTGGTGAAAAGAATTTCATCAAGGACAAGACAAGCAACAGACAGAACGACAGGTGGATCTGCAAATACATCGAGGAGGTTCCCGTCGTGAAGCATAAGAAGTTTCCCTTCTCCGTCATGCTCCTTGGCGTCATCATTAGCAAGGGGGACGTCATGCAAAGGGGCCTGAGAGTCACCTCTGAGATCTATCAGGAGGTCCTGAGGGGCATGATGAAGCCCTGGATGGACGAGATTGCCGCCGGACGCCCCTACATCTTTTAGCGACACTCCTCTCCTGCACACAAGGCCAAGACGACCCAGGCATGGCTACACAACAATGTTCCTCACCACTGGTCGCCGGACTTGTGGCCGCCCTCCTCACCCGACTGCAACCCCCTTGACTATTTCTTCTGGGGCGTGATCGAGGCCAAGACCAACAATCACGCTCACAACACGATCGACTCTCTGAAGGCTGCCAGCGTGGAAACGTTCGCCGCCATGGAATAGGACATGGTCACCAAAGCGTGTGACTCATTTCGCGCCCGCCTTGAGATGCTCGTCGCCGGCGGCGGCGGTTATATTGAAGAATAATGTCGTATGTAACTCTAACTGTTGCTAAATAAACTCTCGGGTCTCTGCATATACAACTTTTGTTTTTATTGCCTATTTTGTTTTCTTTTTGTTAAGTTTCAGATTTTGCTGCAACACACTGTATAGCTCCCAGCTCCCAGCATCCGGAGTGTAGGTTCTATCAAGCTTAGACTCTTGTTAATGCCCAAGCAGTGGCATCATATACTAAAACCACCTTTAGAGTAGCCCGAAAGCGTCTCCTCTTGAAGTTGTTTGGTGGATCAAATTTCCGGATTACATCCATTTTATTCAATGCGGCTCAGGCTTTAGCTATGCGAATTTTCACATCATTTTCAGTTGAATTTATCTAGCTTCCGAAGTATGTAAAAAATTCGTCCGATTTATTAATTCACCTGATAAAGTTTGCATTAATCCTTGCTTGTTGAAGCTTGTGAATTCAGTTTTAGAGGCACTGACATATAGTACAGCATCGTTAACAACATTTTCAGGATGATGTAGGAGAATATGGCATTGGAAATGGTGCCTGCTGTGATGCTAGGCCATCTTCATCGTCAATATCTATCAACTTTTTGACTTGGGAGTTTTGGTGATAAAGTAAAACCTAGATGATGATGTTTGTCTAGGATAGTTCTCAATGCGCAGTCAAGGGTGATAACAAAGACAAAAGGTTCAAGGGTGTCACCGTGAAGGATCTCTACTTTGCTCTTGGTGGCTTTGAACCTAAAACCCTGCTGGAAGACGTGGAATTACGCAACTTGATCCTTATTGCTGCCAACTCTCAGGATCATCGTCCCCTTCTAAATATCGTGTTCTTTCAGAGCTTGTGCGATCATGGTTCTTCATCTCTTGCAAATCTTAGCAACATTTGTCCCTTTGCCATTCCGCTACCCATTCGCACAAACTAATTAGGCAGGTAGCCCGCTACTTTTGACGTTCATGTCCTCGATATTCATTGTCAAATTCTCCATGCTCTCCTTCGTCTTAATATGTCCAAGAAATATTGATTGTCTCTTTTGGAATACGAGTATATGTGTCCTCTTTGATTCTATTTTGTTTAAGACTTCTCCATTGCTTACATACTCCGATCATCTAGTTCTCATCATCCTTCTGTAGGACAACATTTCTCTTGGCTCTAGTTTTCTTTTTATACCTCTGCAAAAGGGATTGGCCAGCATTCCGTGCCATATCATAGACGACGTAAATTTGGTGTGCATCCCTGTGTGTTCGGACATAGCTACAGTCTTATTTCTTGTATAATTGGCCACATTCAAAGAGTTGGCTGTTTCTGAGTTACGGTGATTGGCAGCTAGTGACAGAAGTGACAGAAGTGCATTGTATTTTTTTCATTTCCTGTGTCAGGGTGGAGGCTGTTTTTCATACGGCTGAAAGAAAATTTTGCGCATGCCGCTAAACATTAGGTGTGGTCGTCAACTACTTTTGACCATCTGGTGCAACATGTATAAACATGAGTATTCAGAAAAATTCTCAGCACACCGATTAAAAAAAAACAAAACATTCTTTCTATATGGGAATAAAGTTTCTCTACCGACACTTGAGTTTGAACGCAGATCGCCAGTGAGCAAACACAGGGGATCCCATTATTGAATTAAGTAGACCACGTGACCATAGAAGAATTGCATAACTAGGAATTAGCTTGGCGTCTCATTGATCACCATTTCTACTCTATCCTCTATTACTATACTGCTCTCTATTCTCTACTCAATTCGCTATACTATTTCTGTATTCAGATCACTATACGGATCACCATTTATATTCTATTACCACACAGACCGCTATTTTTACTCCATTCACTATACTATTTCTCTATACTGATCACTAGTCGGTGGCTACTATTCGAGCGAGTATTATCGAGCAAGTACTATTAGTGAGAGTGATATTCGAAGGCGTCTGACATCAGTATTGTTCAACGGCGTTACTATAGTTGTTTTGGCGATTACAAAGTCTCTGCTAGAACGAGCATTACGAAAGTGACAACGCGTATTCGTTGACATTACAAAAATGACAGTGAGTGTTCGTCGACATCTCAAAAGATAATGTGTCCTGATTTTTCCTCTTTCATTATTTTCTTCTCTTTTTTTCCTTTTTTTGTTTTTCCTCGTCTTTATTTCTTTTTCTTTATCAACTTAAATTTTCTGTTTGAATTACTTTGATGAGAAGTTATCATGATTACCATTATTTACACTCAGACAAATGTTCCCACTGTGACTATCACACGGCTTCAGCCGTTCTCAGCGTTTGTTGTGAACCTCGAAGGGTGCAATGTCCGAAACGTTACCTGTTTTTAATGTCTTTTGTCGCTCTATATTTTTTGTCTTTCTTTCTTTCTTTCTTTCTTTCTTTCTTTCTTTCTTTCTTTCTTTCTTATCTTTTTCGTTTCCTTCGTTTTTTCATTCTCCTATATTATGTCGCTTTCTCCTGCCCTTTTTGTCTCTTTCTTCTTCTTCTTCTTCTTCTTCTTCTTCTTCTTCTTCTTCTTCTTCTTCTTCCAATTGTTATTTCTTCATTCTCTTTCTTCTTCCACTTCTTTCGCTTTTCGCATCTTCTGCTTCTTCATTGTCTTTTTCTTATACCTTTCTTTTACTCATTTCCCTTGAAAACGTTCATTAAATTCTGTTGAATCTTATACAGATAGATAGATAGATAGATAGATAGATAGATAGATAGATAGATCAAGTGAGAGTGCGGGAGGGAAAGACAAACGATGCTAGTATCTGAGAAAACATGTCATTGAAAAAGGAATATTCCTCTGTGGTTAGATAGATAGATAGATAGATAGATAGATAGATAGATAGATAGATACATGCATACATTGATCAAGTTCGAGTGTGAAATGGTAAACAGAAACGAATCTAGAATCTGAAAAATCTTGTGACAGTAAAAGCAATATTCCAAAATACGTGGATAGTTATATATATATATATATATATATATATATATGTCAGAATAATAAAAATTACAGCGATAACAATATCTACGAATTATTGTAGACAAAATAATTGCGCAAACAATCGTTAATTTCACAATAACAAAACAACATAACAAAAAAAAAAAACATACAACTAAAAAGAAACTAACTATATGTAGGAATCGATGCTCCTCATACAATTACAAATATCACATATATTATTAATGCAATTGTTATTTATTTATTTCATTAGCAACAAATAACGTAAGACTTATTTCGATTAGCAGCGTTACTCAGAACGATTACATCATTACTTATTTCATAATTTTTAAAACAGTAAATTGATTAGTGCGTCACATAAAAGAGAGTTTTTCAAACCTTATAAAAGTGGGTTGAAAGCATTAAATCGAATGTAAAAACATGGAATGATGCACATTTTTTATTGCTATGAATTTAAATTATTTGTGCTAACTTTTCGGCAAGGTATAGATTTTACATTTTTTTCATTTCATGACATCCTAACTTTTTGTCCCTCCACAGTGTATTCTCTTATCTCTAATTACCTAGCGTTAACTACGTTATCTTGCAACCCATGCATCGTTTTTTTTCTTCTTCGTAAAATACCATGTTTTTCAGCCTCTCGTGTACATTTCTTTTTTCGTTATTAGCGAATGTTCATCTGAAGATGAAAATGAAATTGAAGAATTCACTTGAGAAAAATTGACTGGCATGTTTTTCTCTACAATGAAACGAACAGAGGGAAAAGTATTTTATTAAACTTGTTTTCAATTACTAAAAGGTTACAAAAACTATAATAACGTTCTTAGGTGATAATAAAATACGTAACAGATGGCTATAAAAAGGCACTGTTGATTATTTACGGCTAATTTGTTTAAATAATGCACTGACTGTTGTTGGCGTCACGTGGCAATAATTGTAAGTAATGTGATGTATTAAAATAAGTAACCGACTAATTGTTTTAAGTTCTCTGAATATCGGTGCTTAATTTATTTAGCAATTCTTTTATGTATCATTTCCTTACAAAACGTTGGCGATCGCGTCTCTCCACAAATTCCATTTGTTCATAAGAACTCATCAAGTGATTTACTCGCTTTTTTTTCTCTCTTTTGCTTTTATTGTAGTATCTCGTGTGAGTGTTAAATTTTCCAAACCCTTTTCCTCTTTATATGTTTCTGAAAATTCCAACTATCACTTTCTGATTGTTAGCATAATTATCCTTGCCGTTACTATTTTCCTTAAAGCTTCCTCGTTAGTCACCTGTTATATCCACACTGGTCCCAGCCTTCGATCATAAATCTGTAGTTTCTTCATCTCTGTGGAATCAGTCCGTCACTCATTGCCATATAGATGATCGGATGTTACATAGCAATCAAGCACTGTTTTCTCTGTTTCTAAGTATATTTTTCTACCATTTGGCTTAGTTTCTGGAAGACATCTTTCGCTATTGCTATATTCCTTCAGATTTATGTCACATTTCTGTAGTCCTGGGTATGACGCTAAACTACATCAGGTAGCAAGGCCTCTTATCGAGAGATTGGAGATTTGAGAAGAGTGAATCCACCTCTTAATTTCTGTTGTTCCCAGGTCCACCCTGAAGCAGTGTGGTAGCATCTGTTAAGGTCCCAGCTATGTACAAATAGTGAAACCCCGAACAAAGACAAAACTCTTTGAAAGTATAAAGATACATTTTTATATTAAAAATACCAGCAATATATCTTTACATAAAAAACAAATCATCAACAACATCTATACATATTAAAATGGCCAACAATATATTTTATCTGTAGTTCAAGGCATGCAAATATGTTCCATATGTTTATTTTTCGGTAATAAATAACCCACATAGATTGATCTTGACTAAACAAAATCAGACAACCAACGCGAAAGAATTTTTTCATGATATTAGTCCATATAATATCTTACGATTTCTTAAAGAAATCAAACTGTATTCCAAAATATAAAAAAACTACAACATAAAACACACATGTCTCCGCCTCTAGTAATTATGTCCACACAAACATGTATATGCAAAAAAGCTGAGTATTATCTACCATGTATTCAACTGTAAAGGCAGAATAACATCTATCATAATTTTATTACTTCAACGTCCCCAAGGAAAGTAACTTTCGGCATTAAATGACCCATGAAGACGTTGATATATCGTTAAACAAATCGATATATCAATTACATTTCTGTCACACTTCCCGTCGACTGTCGCTACAATACCCAGATATTTAAATCACTTTTACCTGCTTGATTTGAACTCCCCAACAAGTTTTGACTGTCTATTATGTACCTGGAGAAACATTACTGAGGAATAACTTGCGTGTGCGTAAGATCTCGTGCTTTCTCGTTAGGAAGTGTTTTTTTTTTTCATCAATCATTTTATATGTAAATGGGTATTCGCTTTTATAATTCAAATGGCAGAAATTTTTGTGTTCATTATAAATGTATTATTATTGGATTCTACAAGAACGTCTGGAAATAGGATTTTATTGTTATTGCTAAGTTCACACGTTATTCCTGAAAGAATTCGGTAACGTAAAACACTAGTCAATAAATAGACAACGAAATCAAATTCTTTCTAAGACAAGCTACAATAATGCAATGACAATAAACAACAGTAGCAATATTAATATATTCTCTCGCAACTTGATGCATGGCAATAACAAACAAAACAAATTGACTCTTCGTAATATTATTAAATATGCGTTACTCTAGTCTAGAAAACTAAATATATCCAATTAATTACGTAATAAAAAGATAACAGCAAATATCATTATCAGCAACAACATCTCTCATGCAAAGTCCAAACTAGATTTCGATGGAGGACGGACAATATGTATCCAGAACTGTTTCCTGGCAAAATAAATAATAATAATAATAAAAATTCACCAGTCTCTCATTAAAACTACTGACCTGTCTTACATCTCTCAGACCATAGCTTCATACGGGACCATTTAAAAGCAACACGAAAGTTTTACAAACTTCGATACGCAACGTACTCATCGAGATACAAATATAATAAACGCCTCTAACTGTAAAAAAAAAAAATGTCTAAAAATGATAGAAACCTTAGGAGGAAATAAGTCAACAACAACTACGAACACGGCCTCAGCTTGCAGGTCTTCTTCAGAAATTAAAAATGTGTCTACTGTTTGGCAACCTACACACCATTTACAATAATAAAAAAATCTTTTAAAATTGCTAATGGATTAGCAGAAAGTCCTCCGAATATGCAATCCTTTGACCAATTTTTGCACAAAGAACCCAAAAAGAAATCTCTTATTTGCACACAAGAATAAAAAAAAAACAATAAAAGGGATTGTTAGCTAAAATGCAAATCTATCTATCTCTCTCTCTCTCTCTCTCTCTCTCTCTATATATATATATATATATATATATATATATATATATATATATATATATATATATATATTGTATTTAGCAATCCTTGTTTATATATATTTCGTTAAAGACAACTGGCAAGTTACTGCGATTAAGCTTTTTATTTCATTTTTCTTATGTTCGTACAATTGTTTTCTTTTCTGGACACAAAGTGTGTAAAAACTGTCCTGATGTTCTGATATTTTCGAGCGCTTTCGGTTATACTAATAGCCATTATAAATGACGATTTTATTTTACTTTTTAACTCAATGTATGGCTTATGTATATGTATTTAGAGTCATTGTGCTGTTTTATTTTCAAAACACAATCAGCACATTCTGGACTTGTTCGTAGCAAACGTTATTTAGCATTGGGTTTTGATTTTTTATTATTAGGACTTATTTTAATCTTTTTTTTTAATGTATATGAGATTATTATGCGTGTATTTTCTACTAATATGTTTCGGATGGAATATTTTAATTTAATGTGTGTGTTCAAAAGTGTTCTATTGTATCTGCGGTGGTATAGGTGTAACGTAAGACGTCTAGATAGGCATGTAGTAGTGTAACCAATGTTTGCTTTAATCAATAAAGACAAAAAGATAACAGCTGACCATAGCTTCATCAAAGCAAATGTAATGTGTGAATCGGACGGCAAGTGAACCTGTCTACTTCTATGCATTATTTGATAAGAGTAACTAAGCTCCTAACTGAAAATCAGTTAAAGTATTTCAAAAGTAAAATGAATAATATACTATTTATTATTCATTTTACTTATGAGGAAATGGGGGTTCCAAACTTGGTTAATGTAAGAGCCACAAGTTCAAGTGTTTGTGAACCGCAACACATGGACAATTTTTACACATGCGTTTTTGTTACATGCACATTAACACTAAACTTATGTGCTAATACAATGGGGTCTCAATTCATACCTAATCAATAATTATAAATTTTGAAACTTTTCTTGTTTACTTTTTATATTAACTATGATGTAAAAAGAAGCCAGTCAATATATTTCAACGAGCTGCCTATTAAAGGTCAAAAAGTCGCATATGGCTTGCCAGCTGCAGTTTAGCCAACCCTGTATATATAGATAAAAGTTTAAAAATATACGCTATTAAAATTTAGAAAGAGAATCATTATAGATTTCTGCTCTGTCCTACTTATTTACCAATTACTCGTACACGTTGCCAAAATACCAACTTGTAAACATCAATTAAAATTACTAGTGCGATGATACAACAATTATCTTTAACTGTAGTTCCATATTTTTCATATCTGTTGCGTCAAGAGATATGAGTTTTGCATTTAATTTATCTTTGATAAACTAGAGTTAGATCCGGTGGGAAAATTCAACGCAACTTCGTTTAAGATCTAAAAATATGTTTCTTGGTCATGTTGAAAATAGATACCTCCGTTCCATCAAACAACAATATTCAATACACTGACAAATTGTAAACTTATAGGTATGTAAGATGTAATATGGATTTAATCAAGAATCTATAGTTAAATAGCAGACGCAGTTGACCAGATATGA